TTGAAATCATGTTACTATCAACCCATCTTTGCAACGTCTGAAAGGTACTCATCACAGCTTTTAGGACAAAGCAGCCTGAAAAAGTATTTTTTGTAATTCATTCTCAACCTATTTACCGATTACTAAACAGAGCACCTAGTTAGACAGCTAACACCACTCATCGGTTGAAGTTTATCACGGTTAACTTGTCTCTTTCGTGTGATTGGTTTAACCAGCTCTGTGTAAATTGACGGCTAGTTCATCCACCAATCGTGGATGGTGGAGTAACCGAAAGAGACGCTTTTAGGCACAGAGATCAGGGGTTAATTCCGTATTGCGCAATCGATCACCCTTGGTTTTGTTAGGTGAACACAGTAGATAAATTTGAAAATGACATCCGGATATTCTGGATACCCGGTTTCGGCTAAGGCCACATCATCTAATCACTCTCAGGCTGTACACTAGCTGATACCAGTCCAATAGATAAAATAATTTAACTGGGACAAACTCCTCCGCGTCAGTGGTGTTGACTGTGTGATCTGCCTTCTACTGTTTTCTGTCTAGTAGTCTGTAAATTGTTTGAGAATGATTTACTGAAAAACAATTTTTTCATCTTTTGGCGGCTGTTGTTGAAATTGTCACTATCGGTTTATTTACCCCCCACTGATGCGTCCCCTTCACTTCTCTATCCGGTACTTTTGGCTTTTGATCAAATTACCTTTTATTTATTTTTAACCGTCTAGTGTTCATCTCTACTTTATCCCGTCTTTTATTTGCGACAGAAATGAACATTTTTTTTGTTTTCTTTGAAATATGGGAAACATCCTTTTCCTTTGATCCATTTGTATAAAACAAGTGAACCCATCATGGGCAGCATTGACTGACCATCAATTTCGCATGCTCATAATCAGCTGTCTACACGATAAGTCAAGCCAACCGTGTTTGGTTGTTGCGTACTCTTCTTATAACATCCCGCTGTTTTTTTTACGTTCATAGCTACTGGAGAGCACACGAAATTGCAAGCCAATATCTATTCTACCGGCACTTTACTATTTGTTTCATTCCAGTTATAAGTAGTTTTGTTCCTCAGTTTTATTTATGACATATAATGACTTGCTTACACGCGCGGTAGGTGCCACGATGATCTCATTTCTGTCCGTCGAATGTAGCAATCTTTCCCTCCTGTCCATGTTTTTTGCTTTGTACCTCTTCCTACTCGACGTCCTTGCATTGTATTTTGTCCCCAATGTGCTTAGCCTGTCAGTCTCTGCGTTTTTTTTACTCCAGAACGTGGACAATTTGTTGTTTACCGATCAACCGAATAGCGAAGCGGAGGCTTTTCTCCGTGACTACATAATCAATCAACGCTGGCGTCATCCGTCCGCACGTGTACCCACCTACTCAGAGGTGCTTCAGTCAGCCAATATTGATGAGGAGGAGGAGACGAAATCCGATGTCCGCTTGGAAAATGCGACTAACGCGTTCGCGGATGATACTATTTTGGATGAGGATGATGACTTCCTTATCCGGGTACACGATTTTGAAAGAAATCAACTTGAAGCCGGAGTGAGTGAACTAACCCGATACTCTTAGGCCTCTCTTTAGTCCTCTTCACTTCATCCTCGTTTGCTCGTCGACAGGTTCATACGATTTGCTTGTTGTAAGTCATTACCACTAGAAGTATACGAGAGTATACAAGAAGCTGACCACATTCAATAATCGTAGCAGCGAATTTGTATCTCTAAATCATGCAATTCATCACCCAGGCACTCCGTGTTACTAATTCCATTTGAAATACTGGGTTCCCAACTCATGAAAACAGACAAAATATGTGGGTTGCTTGATGTGACTATTTCATATACTTTTTTGCTAGGTAAGCATACTCGTGTATTTGTTGCAGTAGAGCTCGAAACAAAAGTGTGTGTAGGTTCAGTGAGTGTTCAACAATGAAAAGGATACCGGAAGAACAGCTAGTTTAAATTATTACCACGGCAAGCAAATGCTCTGGGTTTGTCCCGTGCATAGGGCGCTAACTCGCCAGCCATAATGAGCAAAAGTTTACTGAAAACTAACAGCTTCGGAACTGGACAGAATAACAATTCCCCCTGGAGCCGATAAGAATGTTCTCGAGGTGCACTATCAGTCCCCGGCCTTTTCGTGGTTCCAGATACTTGTTTGACCCCAGAATAAAGGTGGTGGTGGTTGGGTATTCGAATCCCACGAGCACCAGCTAGATGTTCACATATTCTGTGCATGGCAACTGTTTGATTGACCGCTTTTCCCTCCTAAAAATTGTTTTATCATCATATATGCATATATGTAATGAAAGGAAGTAAAAAATGACCAGAAAATACGTGAGTAGCACATTTCTTATTAACACTCGGTATTTTCCCGTGTTGTAATGATAAGGATTAACTGAAAAAAATAACAATGTTGATGAGTATGGTCGTCTTCTGAGAGAGAGCACATGTTGCCGACCGGTGACTTTTATCAAAGTAAATCGATTCTTGAATTCAAAATAAATGTTCCGACTTGAATTCCGCTATGAAAAGCTCACTTATAAAGCACATTTGGGGATTATCATTTTAGGAAACGGGAGAGTTATTCGTAGCATGGATAGATTCAGAAGTGCCTTGATAACCAGGATGTATAATCAAGTTCCAGTAGCGCCCATAAATCGATCGGTGGAAATATGACCCAATGGATCGGCAAATTCATTGCAACCGAAGATAGAAATACGGAGGATTATCAAGAAATGTACTACCTGTTTATTTCATAAAAAACATTACTTGAATTTTTGTTTTCGAGCTAAACAAGTATTTTGAACCGAAGGGGGGCCAATGAAAGAGATGAATATTGGTGATGCAGCATATTGATCTACAGGTCAATTCTATGATCTACAGTCAAATTGTTTCACAATTGATAAAACTGTTTTTTATCTTTATCTGAGTTATCATTGCGGGCTGTATCATCGATCATTTGTATGGGACCTCCGACCCTTGTGGAGCCAATCGTGAATCACCGCAGTTGAGAATGAGCGCCTGGTCGCAGCTGGATCAACCGTCATCTTCTAATCAGTGTGCGCCTGCAAAAATTGTGTTACCTTACCCTAGCCCGCCTAAACTTTTGCATGCAGTTCTTTTACCCTGATGAAATTACTTCAGGTATCCAAAATGAATGGTTGTGTCGCTAGCATATTGAAAGTTTCAAGCGCCAAGATAAGTAGGGAACTATTTCGTTTTTGTACTAAAATTTATGGTAGACGAAAAGTAAATCGAATTAATATTTCCGGGAAACTTATTCACTGACGCACTATTCCTACCGCAGCCTTCGTAATCTACAAAGACCAAACATTCGCATTATTATATGACCTCGGCTACCTAATACTTCTCGTTTCACCTCAGCTTGGTTCGTCTATTTGCTCAGATTCTTCTAATGTCGCTTAGATAACATTCATGTTTGAACCCAATCGTATGTTTCAGCAACACCAGAAATTTCCTAATTTGGAAAATAAACCACGTATAAAGTTAACTCCCAACAAGCCTTTTGAATGTCTTTTGATATTT